CCCTAACCCTAACCCTAACCCTAACCCTAACCCTAACCCTAACCCTAACCCTAACCCTAACCCTAACCCTAACCCTAACCCTAACCCTAACCCTAACCCTAACCCTAACCCTAACCCTAACCCTAACCCTAACCCTAACCCTAACCCTAACCCTAACCCTAACCCTAACCCTAACCCTAACCCTAACCCTAACCCTAACCCTAACCCTAACCCTAACCCTAACCCTAACCCTAACCCTAACCCTAACCCTAACCCTAACCCTAACCCTAACCCTAACCCTAACCCTAACCCTAACCCTAACCCTAACCCTAACCCTAACCCTAACCCTAACCCTAACCCTAACCCTAACCCTAACCCTAACCCTAACCCTAACCCTGAACCCTAACCCTAACCCTAACCCTAACCCTAACCCTAACCGGAACCCTAACCCTAGCCCTAGCCCTAACCCTAAGCCTAACCCTGACCCTAACCGGAACGCTAACCCTAACCCTAACCCTAACCCTAACCCTAACCCTAACCCTAACCCTGACCGTGACCCTAACCCTAACCCTAACCCTAACCCTAACCCTAACCCTAACCCTAACCCTAACCCTAACCCTAACCCTAACCCTAACCCTAACCCTAACCCTAACCCTAACCCTAACCCTAACCCTAACCCTAACCCTAACCCTAACCCTAACCCTAACCCTAACCCTAACCCTAACCCTAACCCTAACCCTAACCCTAACCCTAACCCTAACCCTAACCCTAACCCTAACCCTAACCCTAACCCTAACCCTAACCCTAACCCTAACCCTAACCCTAACCCTAACCCTAACCCTAACTTTTTCCCTAACCCTAACCCTAACCCTAACCCTAACCCTAACCCTAACCCTAACCCTAACCCTAACCCTAACCCTAACCCTAACCCTAACCCTAACCCTAACCCTAACCCTAACCCTAACCCTAACCCTAACCCTAACCCTAACCCTAACCCTAACCCTAACCCTAACCCTAACCCTAACCCTAACCCTAACCCTAACCCTAACCCTAACCCTAACCCTAACCCTAACCCTAACCCTAACCCTAACCCTAACCCTAACCCTAACCCTAACCCTAACCCTAACCCTAACCCTAACCCTAACCCTAACCCTAACCCTAACCCTAACCCTAACCCTAACCCTAACCCTAACCCTAACCCTAACCCTAACCCTAACCCTAACCCTAACCCTAACCCTAACCCTAACCCTAACCCTAACCCTAACCCTAACCCTAACCCTAACCCTAACCCTAACCCTAACCCTAACCCTAACCCTAACCCTAACCCTAACCCTAACCCTAACCCTAACCCTAACCCTAACCCTAACCCTAACCCTAACCCTAACCCTAACCCTAACCCTAACCCTAACCCTAACCGAGGTGCGCCGCCCAACTCTGACTCCCCCTCTACCCCCTAAACGTGACGCCAGCCGCGCCCGTGCCCGCAGGTTGACCATCGGGGGGACACTGCGTCGGAGAGAGGCCCCGCTCGCGCGCGCAGCGGCAGCACCCGTGCAGCTCAATAGGGTTTGTGGCACACTGGGCTCCACCCCCCCCACGCGCGGTACTACTTTTCGAGCTCCGAAAATCTAATCGAGTTGAGAACCAGCTGAAGGGCAAGCCACGCCAAGAAGGCGATCGCTTTTGCAAGGCCTCCGTCCATCGCCACTTCGAGGCGGCTCTTCCATCTTCACACCCACGGCGGCGACCAGCCGCTCAACCGACAGCAACACGCCGCCGCATGTCACCTGCACGAGCAGGATTTTGGAAGGACGATCAGGGGGACAGGTGGGGCTCTCCTGCTCCTGACAAGGGACACGACAGGCTCGCAGCGCGGTGCGCGGTGGAATCCCAACTCCACTGGCGGTCTCATCTCAGTCTAGCGACCTGCCTCCAGCTTGTCGCTGGCAGTCTCTCCTACCACAGGCACACTGACACAGGGGTGGCAGGGGCGGCGGCACGAGTCTCCCACATACTATGCGGGCCTCACTAGAGGTGCGGCCTGTGCGTGTCCTCGCCCTTGAGGGGGGAGGGGAATCGCCCAGATCTCGCCCAGCTAGCATGAAATTCTTTTTCACCAACACCGTGGCGTGGGAGGTCGGCTGCTATGCTGCTTCGCCGGCGCCTTCTCGGCCTCCTCCTCCTCGCAGCCTCGGCTCCAGCCCTCACTCGGGCCCTCTCGCGCGGCCGCACGCCGCTCATCGCTCGGCTGCTCCGCAATCGCGGCGGCTCAGTGCCGGCGCAGCCTCCACCGCCGCAGACCGCAAGGCCGCAGCCGGGCCAGCCAAAGCCGCCAAAGCCGCCAAAGCCGCCTCGTCCGCCGCAGCCCGGGAGCAACTCTCACGAGCCGCAGCAGCCACCGCCACGCACGGCCGAGGTCGAGGCGCTGCGCAAAGCGGCACCCGGCCTCACCACGGCGCCCTCCGCCTCCGCCGGTGGCAGCGCCAGCAGCACGCCAGCCTCCGCCTCCGCCGCCACCCCGGCGCCGCAGACGCGCTCCTCGCCGGGGTCGATCCAGCCCGGACCAGGCGTCGACTTTGCCGCGCTCGAGGCCGCGAGCGGCGTCCGCCTCTCGTGGCACCTCTGGCCACACGCGGCGGGAGCGGACGCGCTCGGAGCGCCGCTCGGCCTCCTCTTCTCTCCGATGAGGGCGATCGACGGGCTGCAGACCGTGAGGCGAGAGCCGGTCACGTGCGGCTCCTGCGGCGGGGTGCTCAACCCGTTCTCGCAGATGGACCCGCACGCGCGCCGCTGGCGGTGCCCGCTCTGCGGATCGTGGTCGCCCTTCGATGGCCATCTGCTCACGGCGACGGCGCCGCCGCTCGAGGTCTCGCACGAGCACGCGACGGTCGAGTATGAGATCGGCCCTCCGCGCGACGACACGCCCGCGCCGCTCCTCGTCGCCTTCGACCTCTCCGTGCGCGCGGAGGAGCGAGGCCACCTGCTGCGGACAGCGCAGGCGTGGCTAGACCAGCTGCCGGCCGAGACGCCGATCGGCGTGATCACTTTCGCAGAGGCGGTCGAGCTGCACGAGCTTGGCTGCTCGCCGCACCGCATCTGGCACCTGCCTCATTCAGAGGCGGAGCTGCCTCTCGACTCCTTCCGCGCGCTGCTCCGCCTCCCTCCAGAGCCGGCCGAAGAGGCAGAGCCGCCGCCGCCGCAGCAGCTGCCGCCCGGGTCCGGCCAACCGCAGGGGCACGCTTCCCTGTATGGCCACGGCGCTCCTCCGCAGGGATACGGGCAGGGCTACGGGCAGGGCTACGGGCAGGGCCACGCCGGCCCCGCGCAGGGCTACGGCGGATATGGCGGGCCTCCGCAAGGGTACGGAGGGGCACCGCAAGGGTACGGAGGGGCACCGCAAGGGTACGGAGGGGCACCGCAAGGGTACGGAGGGGCACCGCAAGGGTACGGAGGGGCACCGCAAGGGTACGGAGGGTTAGTTGGACAGCAACACGCTGCTGCTGGCGGCGGCGTGGGGGGCGGCGGCGCGGCGCCGGTCGACGATTTGCTGCCTGGCGCCGCGTCTCGCTTCTTCGCGCCCGCGTCTGAGATTGACCTCGCCGCAGTCTTCGCGGCGCGCCAGAGCGCGTACGCCGCCCGCGCGGCGCCGCCACCGCCGCCGCTTGCCGCAGCGCCGGGGGGCGGAGGGGTAGGCCACTACGCCGACGGCGGCATGGGAGGCGGCATGGGAGGCGGCGTGGGAGGCGGCGCCGCTCCGCAGGGCTGGCCGGGTGCGATGCCGTCTGGGCCGCGGCCAGGCGGGATTAGTTATTGATTGCTGTTCATATCAATGAGCTATTAATTAACAACGTCTGGGCCGCGGCCAGGCGGGATCGCGGCGGCGGCGGCGGCGGCGGCTGCGGCGGAGGAGGCGGAGGCGGCGGCGGCCGAGGCGGCGGGCGAGGCGGGGAAGAGGGGCGGGCGCTGCACAGGGTCCGCGCTCGCTGCCGCGACCTCGCTGCTCGCTTGCTCCCACCCAGACAGCGCTGCTCGCACGGTCGTCTTTTGCGGCGGCCCGTCCGTCGGCGGCTCGGACATGTCCGCGACACGTCCGAGACACGTCCGAGACATGTCCCGTAGGCGGCCCGTCCGTCGGCGGCGCGGGTGCGATCGTGGACTCGGACGCCGGCAGCACCGTCCGTTCGCACAAGGAGCTCGAGGCCGGCTCGGCGCGAGCAACGGCGGCGGCGGAGCACTACGACGCTCTCGGGCGCGCCGCCGCCGCGCGAGGCCACGGTGTGGACGTCGTCGCTGCGTCGCTCGAGGAGGTTGGCTTGTACGAGATGAAGTCGCTGCTTGGGAGGACGGGGGGCGCGGCGCTGCAGGGCGAGTCCTTCCAAGACTCGCACCTTCTCGACTCGCTGCGGCGGCTGTACGCGCGGGCGCCCGACGGCTCCGTCGGGATGGGGTTTGGAGCGCAGTTCGAGCTCACCGCCGGCCGCGACTGCGAGGCGATCGAGCACATCGGCGGCGGCGGCGGCGCTGCCGGCGAGCCGGAGGGGCTGTCCGTTCGCGAGTGCGGCGGCGCTCGCTCCTTCGCGTGGGAGGGCGGCAGCCTTGCTCCGCACACGTGCGTCTAATTACAATTAATTATTAGTTAATTAACAACTAATTAGGCGGCAGCCTTTCTCCGCACACGTGCGTCGGCCTCACCCTCACCCCCGCCAAGAAGGGCGGCGGCGCTAGCGTGATGCCGCAGCACCAGCTCCTGCAGCTCTCGGCGCGCTACAGCACCGCGGGAGGGCGGCGCGTGCGGCGCGTCACCACGTTGAGGCTGCCGAGGCTCACGCAGTCGTACGACGCGAAGAGCTTGCTTCCTGCGCTGGACCAGCAGGCGGTGGCGGCGCTGCTGGTGCGGCAGGCGGTGGCGAAGGCGAACTCGGGCGCCTCTGCTCCGGAGATGCTGCGGTGGATCGACCGGCTGCTCATCAAGACGATGAAGACGCTCTGCGCGTACTCCAAGGGCGACCCCGGCTCGGTGGCGCTGCCGCCCGCCGCAGGCATCGTCCCGGGGTTCGTCTTCCACTTGCGGCGCTCTCCGGTGCTCCGCACTTCCGGCGCGTCTCCCGACCGAACCACCTTCTTCCGCCTCCTCGCCTCCACCCTCGACACCTTCTCGTCGCTGCTGCTGGTGCAGCCCACGCTGCGCGGCTTCCGCGTCGGGTCCGGAGGCAGCGCCCCGCTTCCCCTCGAGCCAACCTCCGTCACGCCCGACCGGCTGCTTCTCCTCGACTCGTTCACGCAGCTCGTCGTGTGCAAGGGCGGCGCCCTCGCCCTCGCCGCCCGCAGTCCAGGCTCACCGCCGGCGGAGGAGGTCCAGCAGCTGACCGACGCGGTGGCGGCCGAGGCGGCGGCGCTTGGGGCGGCTCGCTTCCCGGCGCCGCTGCTGATCGAGTGCGAGCAGGGCTCATCCAAGGCGCGCTACCTGGCGCAGAAGGTGAACCCGGACGTGCCCCTCTCCGCCTTCCTGCAGGGGCTGTACCGCGCCATCGTCGAGTGACGCGCGGCGCACACGGCATTGATTGAAGGGGGTCGCACACATGCCCTCGAGCCCTCGGCCTCACCGTTGGTGTCGTGTCGCCTTGCGCGTGCAGCAAGCGATCTACAGCGCATCGCGTCAAAAACTTCGTAACTCCTTGGAAACGAGCCTCGTGCTTCTGCTTTTCGGCACCTGCCACGTGCCAGGTCCCCCACCTCTGCGAGCTGCGTGGGCCGCAGGTGCCCGACCCCCTCATAATATGTAGCTCATACGTAGCTCGTAGGGGTCGGGAGGGGAGATTTGGGGTCGGCCAGAATAACCCGTGTGCACGCTTTTTTGCTCTCCACGCCTCCTCTTATAATGCTTAGAACACACGGGCACGCCACGACTCACAAAAATAACGGCCAACCGGACGTGCGATCTCGCAAAATCTCGATTTTTTCTCGACACCGTAGTCTGTCGACAGCCAGCGTGCCACGTCACCGTCTGGTCTGACTTTTCTTCGCGGATGTTTTGCTTTAACCCCTTCTCGTTGCCCGCCGTGCTTCTTTGCGCCATGGCGTTCCTACTCATAGATAGTTGAGAGAACACACCAGTGAGGGAAGGCGAGACGATCGAGGGGTCCCGTACCATGCGGAATCGACCCTATCCAGTGCTCAAGAGTCAAGTGCTCAAGTGAGAGAAAGTTGTTGTTTGTAGTCTGTCGACAGCCCGTGCCACGTCACGGTCTGGTCGGACCCATGTAACCCCTTCTCCTTGTACGCCGTGCTTCTTTGCGCCATGGCGTTCCTGCTCATCGCGTTCCTAACCATGAGCTCGGAGAGCCACCAGCCGATTGCGCGCATCGCTGGGAAGTTCACGCTACGTCACGCGGTGCCACACATCTGCGTATATATCCCTACGTTGCCGGCGTCACCGCCCAGTGTGGAGCAGGTCTCCTCGTTCGCGGCGAGTGCGCGGCAGACGAGTGCGACATACTCGATCTATAACCACAACTGGACCGAGAGCGGAGCAGACACGTTCGCTCGCCTGCCTGAGAAGACTTGGACGATGCTGCGTGCCGCCCCGGCAAATTGCGACGCACTGCTGAAGATGGACTCGAACGGCATGATGTGCACACACCGACTGCCAGAGGACGTCTTCACAAACATCCACCGCGCCTACGTCGGAAGGACGGGCCTACTAGACCATGTGATGACGCCGTACCGGCATGAGCTGAAGCACGCGCTCACTCAGCATGCGCTTGCGCGCTGGCGCAACGCAACCCTCCCGTTGAGAGGTCTATTTGCCATCGGCAACGCGTACTTGCTCGGCCGGGCGGTGGTCAACTTCATCCTGCGCCACGAATTCGAAGATTACGTCAATCTCGGGTTGGAGGACGCCAACATTGGCTTCTGGCTAGGTTCAATGCGCGACGTGCAACACTACTGGGTCAAAGGTTCACGTGGCTGCGAGTACGACGAGGGCACTGTCGTCCACCACGGCTGCAGAACACGGGAACAGCTGCAGAATGTCTGTGCACGCCGCAATCAGGCAAATGGGACAAAGGCAGCAGCAAGCAGCAGCGGCTGAATGACTTCGAGGCATACCATACAGTGTTAATAGCTTAATACAGTGTCCTTGAGACTCAATGGGCCATGCCATCGCAGAAGGCTTGAGTAGGGGGTTGAGTGTGCAAGGCGTGCATCTGAACTGCTGGCGGCGATGCCAACTGCGATGCCTGCGCCTGCTAAATGAGTGAGACGCCCCGCCAGTCGAGGCCAGTCGAGGCCGTCGAGGCCCATGATCACTCGTCTGCTTGGCGAGTTGGGCGGCGACCTAGTTGCGGAGGAGAGCTGTGCCTTTTGTGCTTGTCTGCTCTTGAAGCCCGAAAAAGCTCGAGGAGCAGAGGAGGGTCCGGGGCGTGCGTGCGATGCTGCATGCTCGGCGCCGCCGCACCACGATCTCCACGTGCTGTGCCGCCGGCGACAGCTGCTTCCTCAGCCATGTATCTGTATCTTTTACTTGTAGCAATGCGAGACAGCAGTCAGACCACACTAGACGCCAGAAGAGTACTTGGCCTTGAACTGCGCACGGGACAGTGGTCCGCAGACGGGTGGATTGTTCCTTCACTTTGATGCTTGATCCTTGTCGCCCGGCAGCCGCCGCTCGCTTCTCGCCCCCCCACGCGGGCGGAAAGTGCGCCGCCCGCGGCTAGCGGCCGAACGCCTTCTTCTGGTTGGTCCTGCTCTTGATCTCCGACTCGGGCACCTACTCACAGGATAGACGCGTGCACAAGCGATCTCCACAGCTGCGAGTCTGACCCGGCCAGAGCCGGGTGGCGGAGCAGATCGCCTACGCCACTCGGCTAGATCTCGGCTAGATCCCGGCCAATCTCGGCTAGATCTCGGCGCCGAGTGCAGCAGCAGGTGGTTGGTGCGCGGGTTGTAGTGCTCCGAGCCCTTTGACCAGTCGTACGAGGCGTCAGCAGGGAGCAATCAGGAATCAGCAGTGAGTAGAGAGGAGGAGGCACCTTTGACCAGTCGTATGAGGCGGCGTACGCAAAGATGGCGCCGTCGCGCGAGAAGCGGCCGACGGGGATGGGCAGCGAGCCCTTGGTGAAGGCCTAGACACTTCCGAGACACTTCCGAGACACTTTCCGACGGGGATGGGCAGCGAGCCCTTGGTGAAGGCCTAGACACTTCCGAGACACTTCCGAGACACTTTCCGACGGGGAAGGGCAGAGCGAGCCCTTGGTGGAGGGCCTTGAGCCGCTGCCGCGAGTCCTTGTCCCAAAAGTTGAACGTGCCTTATGGGTGGAGGAGGAGGGGCGCGTCAGGACTTGTGACAGCCGCGAGCCCGTGTCCCGAAGGCTGGGAGGTGCCGTCAGAGCCGGTGGTGGCGAAGGTGCCGAAGGTAGGGTGGAAGGCGATGCAGTTGACCGAGTAGATGTCGAGGTTGTTCTCGCGGTGGCACTTGAAGGCGAAATTCTTCTGCTCGTCCGCCTGGCGGGAGATTGGCGGGAGATTGGCGGGAGATTGGCGGGAGAGAGATTGGCGGGAGATTGGCGGGAGATTGGCGGGAGATTGGCGGGAGATTGGCGGGAGATTGGCGGGAGAGAGATTGGCGGGAGATTGGCGGGAGATTGGCGGGAGATTGGCGAGGAAGACTCATGAGTGACGCCTCTCTTTCGGCTCCTTCTGGGCGGCATCTGGGCGGCATCTGGGCGGCATCTGGGTCACGGACCTTGTTGACGTGGTGGACGGCGACGCGCCCCTCGATGGAGCCTATGCCGAGATGAAGCGGAGATATGGCCGAGATACCGCCGAGAGACCACCGAGATGCAGCCGACGCGGCGATCGAGCCGAGGCAGAAGCCGCGCTGGTCCGGGAAGGCGGCGATGCATCGGGACTGGTACCTTTGAATCATTCGCAAGGGTTCGCTCGATGAACGGGCCGAGGGCGGTGGTGCAGCGGGACTGTGGTACTTTAGCGGAGAGGTGATTGTGTTGAAGGCGACGGAGGGCTGGTCCAAGTTGACTACGACGATCTTCCGGTCGGCAGTCGCAACGACCATCAGCTTGCCTCGCACGTCAACCGCATAGGGCGTGCCTGAGAGCATGGGGCGTGCCTGAGAGGTGGGCGGAGGAGCTGGGCGGAGGGGCGAAAAGAGGAGTGGGCTGTCGCACGAGCGCGTACCTCTCGGCTGCCATTGCTACATCTCCGCTGCCTCTCGGCTGCCATTGCTACATCTCCGCTCTCTCTCGGCTCCTCTCGGCTGCCTCTCGGCCGCCTCTCGGCTGCCTCTCGGCTGCCTCTCCGCCATCTCTCGGCTGCTTCTCCGCTACCTCTCGGCCGCCTCTCGGCTATCTCTCGCCCGACAGCGCCAGCGTCGCGCCCGGTGCTGCCGACTTTCCGTCCCAGAACTTGATTGTGTTGTCCCACGAGGCGGTGACCAAAAAGTTCTTCTCGGCGCACCTGTTGAGGAGGCGCAGCTGTGAAGACGGAAGTGTCGCGGAAGTGTCCACGAAGTAACCAGCATCTCGGCTGCCTCTCGGCTGCCTCTCGGCTGCCTCTCGGCTGCCTCTCGGCTGCCTCTCGGCTGCCTCTCGGCTGCCTCTCGGCTCCTCTCGCCTCCTCTCGGCTGCCTCTCGGCTCCTGTATCCTTCGGTCCTTCCCTGATCTCTCGGCTATCTCTCTGCCATCTCTCGGCTCCATCTCGCCAAAAGACGTCCTTGACGGGCGCGTCATGCGCGGCACACTGCACCGCCTGGCTTGGGAGATTAATTGATTAATTAACTGATTAACTGATTAACTGCACCGCCTGGCTTGGGAGATAGCCCCAGTTAGTGATCAGCCACGACAGCAGTCTCGAGGGAAGGACGCAGCCGAGGTGAGGTGTGTGTGAGGTGTGTGTGAGGTGTGTGTGAGGTGTGTGTGTGTGTGTGTGTGTGTGTGTGTGTGTGTGACGTGTGTGTTTGGTGCGTGTGACGTGCGTGTGTGTGTGGTGTGTGTGTGAGGTGTGTGTGAGGTGTGTGTGTGTCTGGTGTGTGTGTGTGTGTGTGTGTGTGTGTGTGTGTGTGTGTGTGTGTGTGTGTGTGTGTGTGTGTGTGTGTGTGTGAGGTGCGTGCGTGTGTGTGTGTGTGTGTGTGTGTGTGTGTGTGTGTGTGTGTGTGTGTGTGTGTGTGTGTGTGTGTCTGAGGTGTGTGGGAGGTGCGGTGCAGCGTGCCTGGTTGGTTGCCAGGTCCCAGACCTTGGCAGTCTTGTCCGCAGAGCCCGTGTACACGCGCGCGCCGTCTGCAGGGGGCGAGTGCAAGCGCGTCGGTCGTTAGTATCATGAACTGAGTGAGTGTGAGAGCGGTGCCTGCGCACCACGAGGCGGTGATCAATGTATCGATCATTAATTTATTGCGACTCTGGAGGAACGACTACTAGAGCGGTGCCTGCGGACCACGAGGCGGAGAGGACGGGGCCGTCGTGGCTGGTCGCCGCCTTTGGCACCGCCGTGCCGTTCGCCTGCACCTCCCAACACCGAACCTGCGGGCGGGGGGCGAGGGGAGGGGTGGAGAGACATGGCGGCATGGCGGCATGGCGGCGGCGTGGCGGCGGCGGGAGGGCGGCGGCGGCGAGGGCGTGGCGGCATGGCGGCGGCGGCGCGCGGCGAGGGCGGAGTTCAGGCGCGAGGTCGCAGACCGCAGCTTGCGGCAGGCAAGGCGCAGGCGGTCCGGCCGCGGCGGCGCAGCTGCGAGGCAGCGCTTGCGGCGGGAGGCGAGCGGTTCAAGCGCAAGCGCTACCGCACAGGAGAGACTAGCCCTCGTATGCGCTCAGTAGGCGGACGCCAAGGATGGGCACAGCGGGCGGGGAGGGCGGGGCGGGCTCGTGTCCGTGGCGAGTGTTGCCTGGTTGTCCCACGAGCCGGCGACGAGAAAGTTGGCGTTCGGCGCCCAGTCGAGGCAGGATATGCCGTCGGTGGCGGCGTTCTGGACCTCGACGTCGTTGTTGGGGTTGTGGCTTGTGCCGGCGCCGAACGACATTCAGCGGGCAGTGATCGCAGCTCGGCCAGGCAGCCGGTGTGTGCGGCGCGACTACACGCGATTTTCAACAAGAAGAATTCAACCGTCTTGAAGTAATACGCGCGCGAGTTTATTTTCTTCTTCCTGTTTAAATTCTTTACAGAAGAAGAATTACTCTATTTTACCTCTTTGAAATGAAAAAAAGAAGAAAATGGCGGTGGCACCTCGTAGGGCAAAGAAACGATGCCACAAGAAACAACTCACAGCAAGCACACGCAACTCAAGAGTCGTGACCAAGCCGTCTCTCTCACGCCGGGGGACCGCCTGAGCTCCGCCCCCCGTCCGGCGCCCCTTTTGGCGCCGCCGCCCCCGGCGGCTCGCCGCCCCCCGCCTGCAGCCGCTCCCTCGCGCCGGCAAAGAGGCGCTGCTGCTCCGCCAGCAGCTCCTCGGTCGACAGCGTGCTCGCCGCCCCCTTGAGCTTCCTCTTTCGCGCCTTGGCCGCCGCCTAGCCTTTTCCCGGTCAGGTCAGGCGCGCACACCTCCATGTGCGTGAATCAGGGCTGTCCGCCGCATGTCCATGCGCCGAGCCGGGCGGGAGCCGCGCGGCGCTCAGAGCAGGTGCGTGCCGCGGAGTGAGGGGACGCCAGAGAGCAGTGAGGGGACGAGCTGCCTGCGCGCCATGCTCCGCCTCGCCCACAGCCTCGCACTCGGCGGCGAGCTGCGGGTAGCCGAGCTTGCGCAGCGCGCCGAGTAGGTGCGCCTCGCTCAGGGTCTTCTTCTTCTCCGCGCTCGCCGCCTCGTTCGCCTCGCTCGTCAGCATCTGCAGGAATTCGCCTGCGGGAGAAGCGGTTCGCGCCTGTGCGCCGGCGGAACTCCGTGGACGTGGTGTCGACGTGCCACGGGGACGCGGCGTCCGTGCGGCCCAGTGGGGTAGCAGAAGCCGCGTGGCCGAGGTGCCGCGCGGGGGAGAGAGAAGGCCGCGGGAGAGGGAGGAGTGTCGGTCGGCGCGCGCCCGCCATCTCGCTCAGCAGCGCCGCGACGTCAGGCTTGGTGCGCAGGTGCGGCGGCAGCCGCTCCTTGACCAGCTTGGCGACCGCCGCGCGCGGGAGACCGTCAGACGAGGACGCGCCCGCGCCGGACTCGCTGTCGCGCGGCTCCGGCTCCATTAAAAAATTAATCTCTCTAAAAAAACACCATCGCACTGGATGGCGATCCGCCTTCAATCTTTGTTGCTCGCTCGCCCGGGCGGAGGGCATGGCCGCGGAGGAGGCGGGCGCGCGCTTGCCAGGCCTTCCTCAGACAGCCTCCCGGCAGACTGCGGGCCGGCTTTGCGTGGCGTGGCCCGTGCGCTGCAGGCGTAAAACCACAAAATTCTTTTTGTCCGCCCGAGAGACTCGGCGGAGGCCAGCTCAAAGCGCCAGCCACACACAAGCTGGTCGCGCAGAATGACGACTGCGCTTGCGCTGCCGCTGGCCCCACTCATCGGCGCCGGTGGCACACTCGCGCGCGGGACCGGCCTCGTCCTGCTCACCACCACCAAGCTCTCTCCGCTCGCGCTCCTCACGCTCCTCCTCGTGCTGCGCGTCCAGGCGCCGCTTCCGAGTCGCCTCTCTGACCAAGCCACGCGCCGCTGGAGATGCGCGTCCACGCCGCCGCACCAACCCACGCTCATCCGCCACGCACACTCACGCCCGCGCCGCGCCACACTCTCCCACTCTCGCCGCCGCCGACACCGCCTCCGCCTCGCCACCCTCGCCGCCGCAGTCCGTCCCGGCGGACGTCGACCGCGATCAGGGCCCTGTCGCGGCGGTGCGCTGGCTACTCTCGTACCTGCTCCCCGCTCCCGGCCTCGGCTGGCTGCGGCGCGGCTCGGCGCGGCTCGGCAGGTGGGCGACATACAGTCAACTAATTAGCCGTTAGTTAATTGATATGGCTCGGCAGGTGAAGGACGCATACAGTTAGCTCTTGCCGGGAACGAATCGTTAGTTGTTGTGGCTCGGCAGGTGGGCCGCCGACCGCTTCGCCGCCGCCCGCGGCCGCTCCAGGCCTCCGCCTCCGCCGCTGCCGAGGGCTGCGAAGCGGCGGCGGTCGAGCCGGCCTGTGAACGTCCTCTGCATGGATGGCGGAGGGATGCGGGGCCGCAACCTGCTGGTGATCGCCGAGGCGACGGAGCTGCCAGAAGAGATGGCCGCCGGCTGTCGAATCCTCTCCTCAGCGCGCCGCTCCTGCGCACCTCAGGAGATGGAGCTGCAGACTGGCAAGCCGCTCTCGTCGCTGTTCGAGCTAGTCGCGGGCACCACCACCGGCGGCTGCGGCGCCCTCGTAGTCTCAATTCGTTAGTGAATCAATGGGTGAACTAGGCACCTCCATCGGCGGCTGCGGCGCCCTCCCCGTCCTGAACACGTCCCCCGCGCCTAATTAATTAATCACTGATGAGGTAATGAATGAATTAGGCGCCCTCTTCCTGAACAAGTACCCCGCGCCGGGCGAGGCGACGCACATGGCGCGCCGCGCGCTGCGGATGCTGCAGGAGCGCTGCTTCGCCCCCGACGCCCGCTCCTACGGCCACCTGTGGCGCGACGGGCACCTCTGCCTCGACCGGCGGCGCGAGTTGTTGCTCGAGCCCTTGAGTTCATCCCTGGCCTGTAATGAGTCACTCTTTCACTGAGTAACAAAGGCGCGAGTTCATGCTCGAGCTCTTAATTAATTAATTAGTGACTTTAATTAAGAGCAATTGATTAACAAAGGCGCGAGTTCATGCTCGAGCTGTGCGGCACGCGCCAGCCCCTACGGAGGCAGCCGAGTAGTCGTCACAGGGAGCAAAGTGACTCACGAGTATGGGCGGACTACTCATCATAGGGAGCGAGTAGTCATGACAGGGAGCAAGTGACTCACGAATCGAGTCGCCCGCCCCTCTGCATGCAGCTGATGTCTGGCTAGTTAGCAGCTAGCACTTCCTCAACTCACCATCAACTGGTTAAGTAAGCAGAACAGCGCCGAAGTACTCACCTGATTAACGAACTGGTCCACTAATCAACTAATCAGCCCGCCACAGGCAGCGCCGCTGGCTCTCCTCGTCGTGGAACGCGGCGGGGCCGCGCGCCTTTGCCGTGGCGTCGTGCCGCCGCCGCGGCGGCGGGCTGGAGCCGTTTCTGTTCCGCACTTACCGCGCCACTCCGGCGAACCTCGGGCAGCGGGTGAAGCGGCGGAGGGAGCGGCAGAGGCGCAGGGCTGGGGAGGGGGGGGAGGAGGGCGCGGAGGCGCCGCTGGCGGGGACGAGCGAGGCAGAGATGTGGCAGGCGGTGGAGGCGACTTCGGCTGCCCCGTCCATCTTCCCGCGCACTCGCCTCGGCGGCCGCTCGTTTGCCGACGGCGGCCTGGTGGCAAACAACCCCACGCTGATCGCGCTGCGGGAGGCGCGCGCGCTGTGGCCGCACCGCCGCATCGGCGTCGTTGTCTCGCTCGGGACGGGCTCCTCGCGCCTAATTAATTAACTAACGAATTAGTAATCAATTAGGCGTCGTTGTCTCGCTCGGGACGGGCTCCTCGCGCCTAATTAATTAACTAACGAATTAGTAATCAATTAGGCGTCGTTGTCTCGCTCGGGACGGGCTCCTCGCGCCTAATTAATTAACTAACGAATTAGTAATCAATTAGGCGTCGTTGTCTCGCTCGGGACGGGCTCCTCGCGCCTAATTAATTAACTAACGAATTAGTAATCAATTAGGCGTCGTTGTCTCGCTCGGGACGGGCTCCTCGCGCCTAATTAATTAACTAACGAATTAGTAATCAATTAGGCGTCGTTGTCTCGCTCGGGACGGGCTCCTCGCGCCCCGCCTCCACAACAGCCGTCCCCGAGGCGGTGGCGGAGCTGGCGCCAGGCGGGGAGGAGCCGAGATGCCGCCGAGAGACGCCCGAGCGATTGAGATCTTGCGAGCCGGAGAGGCGGCGCAGGTACGCGGTTGACATCCCTCCCCTTCTCTTTGGAGCCCTCGTCTCCTCATCCTCAATGCGCAGGCGCCTCGTACTTCCGGATCGAGCCGCCGTCGAGCGGCGTCTCGATGATCGAGAGCGACGAGGACACGCCCGCAGCAGGCGGAGGCGGCGACCCGTCCAGACCCACTCACCGGTCAGTGGATCGTACTTAGGACAAGTTGCAGCAGATGGAGGCGGCGACGCAGCTCTACCTGCGCAGTTCGCCGGTGGCGCGCGAGCTCTGCCGGACGCTGGTCTTCCAGCAGTGGTGGGACTTGATCGCAGACGCGGGCTACGCGGTGCACGCGTGGTGCCGCGACCTCTTCCCTCGGATGGACTCGTGACGATGCGACCCGCGGGGAGTGGGAGATAGCATGAGTTCGAGATGTGAGTACCGTACGCACGCACACGCTGTGTCTGCTGTCGGTGAAGGGTTGACGTTGTGGGCATAGGCAAGGGCAGAGCGGGATGTACGTAAAAAACTGTTCAGTTTTCAAAGGCTAGTTCAAAGGAAAGAATTAGACTCGGCAGGAGTTCTTTGTTCTCAGCCCGTCAGGACGCCGTCGTCCTCGCTGATGTGCTGTGAGCACACACACGCACTCCACCTCCTCAGTAGTAATCTGCAAGGTGGAATGTGTGGTGTGTAGTAATCTGCAAGGTGGATTGTGTGGTGTGTAGTAATCTGCAAGAGAAAAGCTCTTGGAGTGTGTAATCTGCAAGGGCTAGTGCCATTTCACTCTGACACGCTAATCTTGAAAACGTCTCCAACGGAGCTCCGTGTTGCTTCCAGCGCCCTCCCCCGCGCTCCCTGCGGCCATGGCCGATGCTCCTAGTATGAGAGGTCATCTGGCTACCGCGAGAGCGACCCAACTCGTCGACATCGTCCGATGATGGTGCCTCAAAGTCAGCCTTCGGAGGCTATCGTGGGGTCGAGCCGGCAGTAGCCGTGACATGTGGTTCCACCACCCCTCGTAGGCTTTGCCTCTGATCGCCACCGTTCCCAGGCTGCCTAATGGGATGGAAAGGAAGGCTGGGCGAGCGTATAGAAGCGTTCTCGACCTTGTCGTGGCAACCTGCACGGCAGCGCTGGCAGGCGCGATGAGCGTCGTGCCACCTGACCCGAGACGGGTCGCAGGCGTCGTACCGAGCGCGTCGAGACCGTGTCCTGATGTGATCTGCACGGGTAAATCACGTCGGCGTCAAAGGAGCGACGTGCGACCTGTCAGAGCTTGATCTCCGATCTCAGCGGCGTCGAGTCATCTCCGGAGCGCGACAAAGGTACATCCACAGGACGCGCAGAGGCAGCTGCGACCCCCCCAAATGTACCTTTTTCGCGCATGGCCAAATCAAGGTGTTGTAACGCGAGCTGTGTCACAGTGAAATGGCACTAGCCAAGAGAAAAGCTCAAAACGTAGTAAACTGCATTTTTTCCAATCACAAATCTCTCTCTTCGCAGGCGTGAAAAAAGAAAGGAAATTCCGTACAGGCAAGGGTACAAGGGCGAAAGGGTCTCGAGACAATTGCGGCACTCTGACCATCTACCGCACTGCACACTTCCGCCCCCTCGCTCCCAACCCATCCACCTCGTCTGGCCGGGCCCTAGGCCGGGCCACACACACACACACACACACTCGCTCTTTTTTCTTCTAAACAGGAGGCCAAGCCGGCGCGACAGCGCCGCTACCACCCGCCCAACCTTACGCCGGCGGCGGAGCTGCTGCCTCTTCCGGAGTTCTCGTCTCTACCAGCGAATTCTTACAGCAGGCGCAGCGACGGTACACCTCCGGCGTACACCATGTCGCAACTGGCTCGCCCTCGCCGAAGCCTTCGTCAGCGAGGCATCCCGGCAGGGCGGCCGCTACAAGCCTGCCAAAGGCAAGCAGACTGGCAGGCGCAAGAACCACAAGTGCTGGCGCGAGGCGATTCGTTTCGTCGTGCAGTCAGCCAGGAATGCGATCCCCATGCGGGATGATATGAAGATGGAGACGTGGGCGATGCGCATTACAGTTCAGCGCCGCCTCGGCCTCCCGCTCGATGTTGCCTGCCAGGCGGTGGAGGCAGGCAAGAAGGCGCCAAACGGCAAGCCGCACGAAGAACTCGGCGATGCCGCAATGGTCAACCCGCGTGCGAAGCACGCGACAAGGCACAAATTCCTGCTCAAACGACTCGTCAAGACCCTTCGCTCGGCGTG